TTAAATGGGAACCCATATGTAGAGATGCGAGGCCCCGCAGTTTTTTATTTTCACGCGGAGATGGCATCTTGAAGCATCGTCATAGAGACATCGATCGTAGCATCCCATGAAGCTTGGTATTGAAAGTGACAAAAACTATACAAAACTGACCAAAGTGAAAGAGATGTGAATTTTTGATGGTGGCCTTGCTGAGGAGTTTCACGATCACATTCCTCGACGAGACGGGCACAGCGACCTGCCTATGTTGCAGGGTTTCTCCAGGCCTTCTCAAATTGCCATATGTCACAGGTAGTTACAGACAATTGCAGGTAGCCCGGCAGCGCTGATGTCCATGGCAGAAGTTCTTTGTTGTATTGCTATGTATTTGTTATGTTTGGTTTGTTTCAAATTATTCAAATGTGCCAAGCTTTGCACCAAGGAAATTGAGCTAAAATTCGCAAAGAAACCATTGGGCTTCAAGTACGCTCGCACCTGAGCAGAGTACTGAGCAGAGCGCTGAACACAGTGTCCTTCCAGTTGATCCAGTTGCTTTACATCTTGGTGGTTTAGGTTTCAGGCAAGGGGCCTTTGACTCTTGGCCAGCGAGATTGGTTGAGCATGACTATGTGATGTACTGTATGTAGTTTTTGTTTGGCAGATTTCCCAACTCGGTATGTCCTTCAAGATCCAAGGAAGGTTTCCGGAATTCTTGATGAGGGTTGTGTGAAGGAGACTGGTCTTCCTGTGAAAGAAACCAAGCTGCATATGGATGTTAGTGCGTTTTCAGAGTCAAATTTTGTCTTTGTGATGACTTAGTGATGATTTTCGAATTTTCGAAAATTCATGTGGAGGGAGGGCCCTAACCGCAAGGTGTACCCACCAGCAACGGCCCAAATAAACAAAAATGCAACGGGGACCAAAAATAGAACAAAAATCAGAATAGGAGGAGCAAAGAAGAGCTGGGACTTATGTGCAACGGCCACGCTACAGGGCTGCCAAACGCTGTGTGGTACGCTGTGATCGTTTGCAATAGGCATTGGTCCGTCGTTAGTATGTTTGTTGCATGCTGCAGCACCTTGTGCTATGCTTGGTGTGTATGCAGTATGTTGCAGTACAAGATGTCATAAGTTTTTGCTGTGGCGGTTGCTGTATGGTGTCATCGCTGATGTCATCGCTGATGTCATCGCTGATGTCATCGCTGATGTCATGGTTGATGTCCTGGTTGATGTCATCGTTGATGTCATCGTTGATGTCATCGTTCAAGTCATCGTTGGTGTCATCGTTGATGTCATCGCTGATGTCATCGTTGATGTCATCGTTGATGCCATCGCTGATGTCGTCGCTGATGTCATATGGTTGTTGTCATCGTTGATGTCATTGCTGATGTCATCGTTGGCGTCATTGTTGCTGTAATAACTGATGTCATCGATGATGTCATCGCTGATGTCATCGCTGATGTGATCGCTGATGTCATCCTTGATGTCGCATATGTCATGGCTAATGTCATCGTTGATGTCATTCCTGATGTCATTGCTGATGCCATCGTTGATGTAATTTCTGATGTCATCGCTGATGTCATTGCTGATGTCATCGTTGATGTCATTGCTGATGCCTTCGTTGATGTCATTGATGATGTCATGGCTAATGTCATCGTTGATGTCATTGCTGATGTTATCGTTGGTGTCATCATTGATGTCATCGTTCATGTCATCGTTGATGTCATCGTTTAAGTCATCGCTGATGTCATCGTTGATGTCATTGCTGATGTCATCGCTGATGTCGTCGTTGATGTCATTGCTGATGCCATTGTTGATGTCATCATCGTTGATGTCCTCGCTGATGTTATCGTTGATGTTATTGTTGATGTCATAGTTGATGTTGTCGTTGATGTCATGGCTGATGTCATGGCTCATGTCATCGTTGATGTCATCCTTGGTGTCATCAATGTTGTCATCGTTGATGTCAGCATTGATGTCATCGCTGAAGTCATCGTTGATGTGATCTCTGATGCCATCGGTGATGTCATCGTTGATGTCATGGTTGATGTCATTGCTGATGTCATCGCTCATGACATCGTTGATGTCATTGTTGATGTCATTGCTGATGTCATTGTTGATGTCATTGCTCATGCCATCGTTGATGTCATCGTTGATGTAATCGTTGATGTCATCGCTGATGTCATCGACGATGTCATCGTCGATGTCATTGTTGATGCCATCATGGTCGCTGTCATCTCTGATGTCACCTCTGATGTCGTCGTTGATGTCATCGCTGATGTCATCGCTGGCGTCATTGTTGCTGTAATAATTGATGCCATCGATGATGCAATCGCTGATGTGATCGCTGATGTCATCCTTGATGGCAACGCTTATGTCATCGTTGATGTCATCGTTGATGTCATCGTTGATGTCATCGTTGATGTCATTGTGGATGCCATTGTTGATGTCATCGTTGATGTAATTGTTGATGTCATCGTTGATTTCTGCGTTGATGTGCTTGTTGGTGTCATCGTTGTTGCCATTGCTGATAACATCATTGATGTCATCGTTGATGTCAGCACTGATGTCATCATTGATGTCAATGTTGATGGCATTGTGGATGCAATTGTCGATGTCATCGTTGATGTCATCGTTGATGTCATAGCTGGTGTCAGCGTTGATGTTATCGGTGATCTCATGGTTGATGTCACCATTGATGTCATTGCTGATGCCATCGTTGATGTCCTTGCTGATGTCAATGTTGATGTCATCGCTGATGTCATTGCTGATGCCATCGTTGATGTCATTGCTGATGTCATGGCTGATGTCGTCGTTTTTGTCATTGCTGATGCCATTGTTGATGTCATCGCTGATGTCATGTGGTTGTTGTCAATGATGATTTATGTCATCGTTGATGTCATATGGTTGATGCCATCGTTGATGTCATTGCTGATGCCATCGCTGATGCCATCGTTGATGTCATTGCTGATGCCATCGTTGATGTCATTGCTGATGTCATCGCTGATGTCATTGCTGATGTCATCGTTGATGTCATTGCTGATGCCTTCGTTGATGTCATTGATGATGTCATGGTTGATGTCATTGATGATGTCATGGTTGATGTCATCGTTGATGTCATCACTGATGTCATGGCTGATGTCATTGCTGATGCCATCGTTGATGTCATTGCTGATGTCATCGCTGATGTCATTGCTGATGTCATTGCTGATGTCATGGTTGATGTCGTCGTTGATGTCATTGCTCTTGCCATCGTTGATGTCATTGCTGATGTCATGGTTGATGTCATCGTTGATGTCATTGCTGATGCCATCGTTGATGTCATCACTGATGTCATGGTTGATGTCATCGTTGATGTCATGGTTGATGCCATAGTTGATGTCATTGCTGATGTAAAGCGTTCCCTCCCTCTGCCAAGCCTTTGGCCTTCGCTCCGTCGCTCTTGTAACGTCGCTGGATCAATCCCACAGTCGAGCAAGGAGCCAGTTCCCAATCTGATTATTCAAATTCATTCGCACATTGAGTCACCCGAGCGTGACATCAACACATCAACTGCAAACTCTTCAACTTTGCCAAGCTATTTTTCATTCATTCAATGAACAGGACATGTATCAAGCAACTAGCCTCATAAAGCACTACGGGAGGTGTTCAGTCATTGTTTTGGTAGTCTTCCTTTGCCATTCTGTGGAATGCTTGCAAATTTGCTTCTTGTTCTTGGTAGCTTGGTAGCTAGGGTGCCGTCTGCCACAGTATGGAGACTGGATTGTGCCGCAGTGCCCCTAGGTTGGCTGGGCCATCAAAGCTGTGAATGGCAACATACTGAGCGCTGAGCCACAAAAGGCATCGGAGGAGTTCCTGGAAGCCATAAAAGGTGTTTGAGTGGCTCTGGAATCAAATTGTGGATATGCAGACTTTGGCCAGGCCCTCAGCAAAGTGGATCCATAGATTTGATTTATAATCTAAAGATCTTAGATATCAAGGAAATCACCAGGCGCGAATGCGCCATGGCACAAGCAGAGTGGCGAGGCAACTGGCGTCCTTCATGTTCCCAGAGATGGATTTTGGCTTGAGCTGCGATCTATATCAGTCTCGCGGGACCTACGCAGACTGTGCCTGTTGATGAGCAAGTTAAAGTCACTTGTTATAACATGTTACAATAGCCACAACCACCGCAACCATCAGAACAGATCAAGCAGACATTTGCGCATGTTTTGTCCAAAAAAGGTTTGCCCGCAACCGGCGCAGCCCGAAAGCGGTGGTCAATCGCTAATTCGGCGAAGTACTGTCCGTATCAACAGCATTCAGTACTGCCCAACGGGCAACGAAATGAATGCTGTGTTGCTTGAGCATCTTGAAAGGAAAAACTGACGAAAACACAGTGCTTCAAGCTTTGCCTTTGAAGGGACAAGATTTGCATTGAAGCCAGTTTGTGTTGCTTGTACTTGTTGTAGGTTCTATAATGATACAGTGTTGTCTTACAAGAGGTTGAAGGTTGGAAAGGGGGAGGCACTTTGCAAGTGTGCACATGCGTTTGAGAGGTTTGGAGCTTCCAAGCGGCGACGCGATTCTGTCTGGAGCGGCTTAGACTGAAGCAGATCTTGGTACTTTGCCTTTGCGCTTTTGCACTTCTGCAAAGGGGGAAGAACTCCAAAATGTCCCAAACAAGCTTGTGCGATTTGGAACTTCGAGAAATACCCGGCACCAGGGTTTCCAGGGCTCCCAAGCTACAAGCCGAGGTCAGCGGCCAGTTCCAAGCGCGACGAATGTTGGAGACTTGGCTCACCAGGACGTGTCTCAGCTTTGAGGACCGTCTCCTCTTGAAATCCGTTTGACAAACTTGTAACCCCAGAATGCCTTCTCAGGTGTGCCATCATGCAGGTGCTGGCAAAACCAGCCAAAGTCTCGGACTAGCGTGAGCAGTTCTACAACGGCCATGCATTTGTCAGCCTGTTAGTCGTTTCACAGCAATGATTCCTTTTGTGGTTGCCATTCTGCTTCGCTTGCCATCTTTCCAAGGCCTAGTGAATGTTCTTTGTGGCAAGGCAGGATCTGTGAAGACGGATTGACGCGCGCGCACGGGTGTGTTGTGTGTGTGTGTGTCCGTCTGCGTGTGTGTGTGTGTGTACCATCTGAACAGATGTAAAACTTCTTATGGGTTTTCACTAATTTGCAGGGGGTGGATGCATGGTCTGGCAGTCATCCACCAACGAAGACACTGCCTTTCCATGGTGATATCGATCTGGGACGCCAGATCGACGTACCTGCCAATTTGCAGATCAGTTTCAACTGTTGATCAAGCTGTTACACTGCGTTGTTTCGAATCTACACGGTTGCCACAATCTGTATTACATGCATCAGAACCTTCCTCAGATTTTCGCCGAAACCATATCGCCGACAGTATTATGATTTTTTGACATGTTTTCGCCGAGATCATGTCGCCGACGAACCTTGGGTCATTTTGGGAAACAATCGCCGAAACATTATTTTGGATTTTCAACATGCTGGTCAAAACTCTATGGAATCTGGTTAAGACTACGTTTGACGATATCGGATGCCCTACATCGTTTTCGAGAAGTACCTCATGTGGCTCTTTTATTCATCAAATAATTTAGGCTGGTTTGCATGTTTCAGGATTCAGTTCCTGCCGGATCATATAATGATCCATTCTTGTCTAGTGTGTGTGTGTAACATCTCAATAGATGTAAAACTTGTACCTGGCACCTTCGGATCACAGGGTGTTCCGTTGATTCATAAATTATGTTGAAAAGTTTGAGTCATTTTTTGGATTAGGGTTTATGGTTGATTGTTCTGATTGCTTTTGGGTTGGGTGTTTATGGTTAGTTGTTATGAAATGTGTATGCTGGGGTGTATGTGGTTAGTTTTGATGAAATGTTTGTGACATGTTGTTTATGTTGGGGGTTGTGAGTTTGGGGTTCAGGGGTTGGAAGACGGGCAAGGCCCATTCTAACTATCACAGTTGGTGAATATGTCACAATGATTGCGTTCGTTGCGCGCGGGCAGTTTGACAAGACGATGGATGAAAACGCGCAGTTTCACAAAACGGTGGGTGAACGTGCTGTTAGGCTGCAGCATTACTTGAACACGGTAGGCAAAGCTGCAAAGCTGTTTCTGGCGAACGAAACGAGAATTTGGGGTCTGGGGGGCAGGGTTGAAGAAATGGCGCGAAATCTTGCAGTCAGGCCCTGATTTGGGTGTCAAATCTTTCTTTAGAGTGTTGGTAATTTATGGTTTTTCCCTTTTGGCCCCCAAGGGGGCATGTGTCAGAGAGGCATCCGCGCATTGGAATAGCTTGCGAAGGAGGTTAGCAAAGGCGGCTTTTGAAAAGGGGGACCATGGGTCAGATAACAGGTGAAGAAAGGGGTGGTTTGAGTGAGATGGGCGTTTTTTTTCTGCAATGCCTCCAGATTTCACCTTTGGTGCCATTGCTTCATTATGAGTTCCACTCCGCAGTGCTCCAAGCTTGGCATGCTTGCACTCCTTTCCATCCTACAAAGGAGCCTCTGACCGAATCACCCCCTCCAACTTTTTCTATGGGTGAGTTTTGGACCGCCTGCGGAATCAAAACATATCAGACATCAGCATCTGAAACACCTGCCGAATCGGCCTATGAAGGAAGAATGATCATGAATGATCCACGCCTTGACAGCTTGACGCGATTGTTGCCACATCTCCACGATGCTGTCACTACTCCGCTGCTTTGATGGCTGCCATCCACTTCAAGACCCTCTCATTGACTGTAGTGGTCAGGCGGCCCCCCTGCTTCAGTTCCCGGCCTTGCCTATGTTCTTGCACGCTTTGTCGCAATGTTCTGAAAAGGAGCGCTCTGAACGGCCAAGAATCGTGGTTGGCGGCAGGTTCAACTCTTATATCATTTCAATTCTTCAGCATTGACTGATGAGATGTCCTTTGATTTCACCATGTTTTCGACAAGCCAAGATAAGTTCCATCCACACTAAAGCCATTAGCATCCCAGGCGGCTCCCGACTATGATGCTTTTTGAAGAGGACAATGTCTGGATGCCCGGCTTTCAGCTCTGATTCCTTGAGAACCAAAGTGAATCTTTTTTGAGGCTCCAAAAGTGAGCAACAAGAAAGGGTGAGTTTCGGGCTGAGATGCTGTGAATGTGTTTTTGGTGCTTTTGATTTTTTACTGTATTATCCGTACATGTTTATCTACTGATTTACATGTAGAAAAATCGCCATCTCTATCTCTAATCTATATCCATATCCATATCTATATGGGGGTTTCCATAAAGGGGGGGTGGTACCCTCAGTTAAGTTGGATGATTTATAGCGGAAACTCATATTAAGATGTATGATTTGGGGGTACCACCATTTTAGGACACCTCCATATCTATATCTAAATGAGGACTCACACATACCTGTATGCATAGATACATAGATACATGGATGCGTACATACATAGATAGATACATAGATAGATAGGTAGGTAGATAGATATAAAGAAAGGAAGAAAGAAAGGAAGAAAGAAAGAAAGAAAGCAAGAAAGAAAGAAAACAAGGAAGGAAGGAAGGAAAGAAAGAAAGCAAGAAAGAAAGAAAGGAAGGAAGGAAGGAAGGAAAGAAAGACAGAAAGAAAGAAAGAAGCAAGAAAGAAAGAAAGAAAGAAAGAAAAGACACATACGCACGTACCTACATAGATGCATGCATCCATACATACATCCATGCATGCATGCATCCATACATCCATACAACCATACATCCATAAATACATCCATAGATACATCCGTACATTCATAAATACAACCACAAATACATCCATCAATACATCCACAAATACATTGAGGCCGCTGTGCGGGTATCACTTTTCCTTCGCAGACGAAGACAAATTCCGAAGACGAATTGCGAAGACAAATTCCCCGAAGACGAATTGCTCCCCGAAGACGAATTCGCACCCGAAGACGAATTCTGAAGACGAATTGTCCCCCGAAGACGAACTCCCCCCGAAGGTGAATTCCGAAGACGAATTCCCCGAAGAGGAATTGGGATACGAACACGAAGTCCGGAAACGAATTCCCCCAAGACAAATTGAATTGCTATTCGAAGACGAAGTCCTAAGACGAACTTCCGAAGACGAATCCCCACGAAGACAAATTCTGAAGACGAATTCCCCGAAGACGAATTGCGCTCGGAAGACGAATCCCCCCGAAGACGAATAGCGAAGACGAGTTCCCGAAGACGAATTGCGCCCCGAATACGAATTCCCCCCCGAAGGCGAATTCCGAAGACGAATTCCCCGAATTCAATATGCACATCGATGGGTGCACGCACGCATGTGCATATACCTACCCATGAACCCCATGTATTGATTCTTGGTTATAGCCTAAATTGTTTTGTTTGATATTGACTATGACCGGATCGCAATCGGTTGCCAAACATTGTCGAGCCATAACATAACATGTTCCTGAGACGAGTTGCTACTGTTTCTTCTTTTCAAGTAGGACAGATTGCTATTTCCTTATCAGAGAACCATATCTACTGTGTAATCACACAGCCAATGTTACTGTACTCCTTGGAAGGTCTCAAGCTTCCCAAACCAAACTGACGTTCACAGTTCTTCTGTTGACGAAATATGGCAGGGGCCAAAGAAAGCCCCGCGGCCAAGCAAACCTACGGTGGGGCTGTCTCGGCTCAGTTTGTGGGGAGGTGACTTTTCTTTCAGCTAGTGAGGACATACACAGCTAACACCCTCAACTGGGGTTCTCCCCTGTAAATTTCGAGCTTTGATCATCCAGTAGGGATTTGTTTCAGAGTTGTGCGTTCAGGTCCAGCGAATGAAGAGGGAAATTCTGGAATCCTCAGCGTCGTGAGCAAACCATCAAAACTGGTGATCTATCAAAAGTTGGGATTTAACTTATTTAATGGGAAACCATCTATGAATCGCACTGGTGATCTATGAATCTCCCCAGCTGGTTTTGAACAATCCTCCCATTCCTTTGCGAGTCCCGCACTCCTCAGGAAGAGGCGGATCAGGAGCGTGGACGCATTGAGGTGGGTCACTTGGAAGTTTCCGAAGTCATGGGGGATCCCCAGTCGTCACCGTGTTTCTTTCAGTACATGGTGATCTATTGAATCTATTGATGATTTGGGGCTAGCCCTATTCCAGAAAACCCGCATATGGTTTTGATTTGAACATATGGCACCCCCAAATGAGATGCTTTATCATATGAAAAGGCAACTTTTGAGGGGTACATCCCATTTTCAGTCACACTCATATAGGCAGTGATAAAATGGAGCATCACGGATGGCCCGCCCCCCCCCACACAGATGGCTGGAAAACCCAAAATTGGCGTGCAAAGCGCGCCATTTTCCAAAACGTCGTTGATGATTAGACTGGGGGCAAGATAAAAAGCGATGATGGTGAACGGATTTCTTGGTTATTTATATACAGTATATTATCGTATATACACATTATACAGCTACATATCGCATGTGCATGTCTAGTTGCTCGATTCAATCAAGAAATTCGATTGGGGACCAAGATCAGAATTTATGTCTTCATACCTTGGTTCCCCTTTTCTGGTGTTTTAAGAGGCTATCAAGTTTTACTCCAGCATCTTCTCTGCCACATCTTTCTGTGCAGGAGTTCCGTCGAAAGATGGCGAAGCAGGTGGTGTACCGCTGGGTACTGTATGTCCAAGATTCTGATATTTTCAGTGTGTAAATAAAAAATAATGACTACATTAAACAAAAATACATATTTAAATATATAAGTAAATAGATAAATAAGCAAATAAGTAAGTAGAACACACAAAAAAATATAGATAGGATGTGTGGGCGAGCACTCGCTTGTGCACTTATGATTTGCCTCGCTTGTGCACTTGCGATTCTCCTCGCTTGTGCACTTATGATTTTCTTGTTGATGCCATTCGGATGCCAGCCTCCTGTGCCATGGGGCACAGTAACGTGTTAGTTTTAGACATGCACGTCCTGTTTGGTAGAAAAATGTTTGCATTATTGTTGGGGTCAATGGTGTTTTGCATTGTTAATGCAAAACATGTGGAACTGCTGCGTCAAGACGGGTTTGATCTAAGGGTTGAAAAGTCTTGCCTGTCAAGTTTGACTGGTATCTTGTTGTGCTGTATGTGCAACTTGTCTTGTGAGTTTTTCACACAGAAATTCTGTCAAAGGCATTTGAACCTGGTTGTTGAAATGTTAGTCATAACAACCCTTATTGGTGCATAGATGATGATGAACCCTTCCCACATATATATAAACATAAAGAAATATTCTCTTTTTTTGAAAATTCTTACCCCCTCCACATTTGCTGAGCATTAAATCTATGAGACAAATCTGACACTCAAATCTATGGGGCCGACACTCGCACTTAATTCAAAGGGGGATTCCAAAACTTTGGGGAGGATGTCAAACATTAGACGATGCGACCCCCCCTCCCCCCCTCCTCCCCTGTTCCCCCCTGCCCCCCCTGTTCCCTATGCAAACCCCCCCTTCCCCTGCTCCCCCCTCCCCTGCTCCCCGCTTCCCCCCTCCCCCGTGTCCCGAATTCCACCCCCCCAGCCCCCCTGTTCCCGTTCCCCCCCCCTTGGTTCCCACATAGGAGACCCCCACCCCCTATATGACCCCCCCCTCCCCCCCTTGTTCCCCTATATATTCAACCCCCTCCTCCCCCTGTTCCCCCCCCCCCCCCGCTTGTTCCCTATATGCACCCCCCCCCCTCCACCCTGTTCCCCCCCCCTTGTTCCCTATATCAAACCCCCCCTCCCCCTTGTTCCCTCCCCACCCGTGTTTCCTATATGCAACCCCCCCCCTCCCCCCTGTTCCCCCTCCCCGAATGTTCCCCCCTCCCGCCCTTGTTTCCCTATATGCAGCACCCCTCCCCCCTCCCCCCATGTTCCCCCCTCCCCCCTTGTTCAGGTAAGTGCGCAAGTGAGTGAAATTTTGTGGTGAAGTGCGCAAGTGAGGGTAAGTGCGCAAGTGAGTGAAATCCTAAGTGCGCAAGTGAGGGCTTTGCCATGTGGGAAGAGTCATGGTCATTCTCCCCAATAGTAAGCCATCAATAAAACCGTTCTTTTTTTGATGGCCAAAATATGGTTGCTAGTGAATTTCTCCATGGCAAAAGCCGTTTCTAGGGTTGGTTGAATCTCCATAGTCGAAGTTTCCTCATTTTGGTAGTTCTTTCCCAGCATTTTGTATTACTTAAAAATAACCCGATATGTTGTTTGTGAAAACAGTTGCATCCGCGTATTTGATTGCATCCCCACTATTGTTGGTTATATCAGTCATATCTCCATATTTGAATATATCCCCACTCTTGTTGGTTATATAACCCCATATTTTGATAGGTCATATCCCCATATTTCCATTTGACTCTTTTTGTTTGTATTTTTGTTGGTTCCCGGTCATTTTTCTTGGTTGTATCACCTATATTCCCATATTTTTGTTGGTGAAAACCTCATCCACCAGGGCTTTTGTCCCAGCATGTTCCGCTTCAGGTGGAGCAGATTGCTGAAAAGGCGCGTGAGGCACCCAGGCGAGGAGGACTGGGATGGAAAGAGTTTTTGTTGGGTAGTGATGAGTTCGCAAACTTTTGAGATGATGATCTTTTCCGCCTGAAAGAAAAAACAATCCAGATCACTAATATCTCATTAGAGTATATTGGGATCAAAAGTATCATAAGTTATCACAATCTGATAATGAACAAATTGTTTTCTGTTATGTTCTTCCAGCCATCTCTCGTGCCAGGCAATTCTCCGATGTGTCGCCGACGATGTCTTGGGACAAGGCACCGGCAGTAGGAATCAAGGAATAGCTGAGCAGTGCCCCAATATAGAGATTGGGTGGTTATTGTACGAGTTTTCCTAGCTACTTATATAGAGACTATGAATTAACCCATAAAGTGGGAATGCCTTTAAACCAGCCAGTTCAGTGAGATTATGTGAGATTACATCAACAAGGGCAGTGCTCAGCTGGGAAGTTGCTTCATTCGAAAAATGGTTGCGGCCGTCAGGTGTCTCCGCGCCAGAAGCCGGCGATGCCGAAACGTAAGGCACTGCTGAAAAAACCCAAAGAAAGTCGCGCTAGTCGATGTCCTGCAAATAGACATAGGGTGCCCCGAAATTCAGATCATAATAATCATCATCATAATATTAATAATAATATTAATAATAATATTAATAATAATATTAATAATAATATTAATAATAATATTAATAATAATATTAATAATAATATTAATAATAATATTAATAATAATAGTAATGCTATTAATCATAGGAATAACAATAGTAATAATAAGAGGAATGACAATAGTAATAATAATAGTAACAATGATAGTGATAATAATAGTAACAATGTTAGTGATAATAGTTACAATAATAGTGATACTAATAGTAATAAAAATAGTAATAATGATAGTAACAATAATAGTGATAATAATAGTAATAGTGATAGTCATAATAAAAAGTAATATCATAGTAATAATAGTGATAACAATAGTAATAATAATAGCAATAACAATAGTAATAATAATAGTAATAACAATAGTAATAATAGTAAAAATAGTAAAAATAGTAATAATAGTAATAATAGTAATAATGGTAATAATAGTAATAATAGTAATAATAGTCATAGCAATAATAGCAATAATAGCAATAATAGTAATAATAGTAATAATAGTAATAATACGCGCAAACACCCTGTATCGCCCACACCCCTTCTATGCTGTACACTTGGGGATATCAAACGTTAGACTTTACATTCAATTGGGAAGATCAACAAGGGTATTTAGGGAATATAAATTTCCCACCCCCGTTAAACTTTGCATTCATTGAAGATCTCCAATAAGGGTTTAATTCTCCCACCCCCGTTAAACTTCTACGTTCATTGAAGATCTTCAATAAGGGCTTAATTCTCCCACCCCCGTTAAACTTCTACATTCATTGAAGATCTTCAATAAGGGTTTAATTCTCCCACCACCGTTAAACTTCTACATTCATTGAAGATCTTCAATAAGGGTTTAATTCTCCCACCCCCGTTAAACTTCTACATTCATTGAAGATCTTCAATAAGGGTTTAATTCTCCCACCCCCGTTAAACTTCGACATTCATTGAAGATCTTCAATAAGGGTTTAATTCTCCCACCCCCGTTAAACTTCTACATTCATTGAGAAGATCTTCAATAAGGGTTTAATTCTCCCACCCCCGTTAAACTTCTACATTCATTGAAGATCTTCAATAAGGGCTTAATTCTCCCACCCCCGTTAAGCTTCTACATTCATTGAAGATCTTCAATAGGGGTTTAATTCTCCCACCCCCGTTAAACTTCTACATTCATTGAAGATCTTCAATCAGGGTTTAATTCTCCCACCCCCGTTAAACTTCTACATTCATTGAAGATCTTCAATAAGGGTTTAATTCTCCCACCCCCGTTAAACTTCTACATTCATTGAAGATCTTCAATAAGGGTTAATTCTCCCACCCCCGTTAAACTTCTACATTCATTGAAGATCTTCAATAAGGGTTTAATTCTCCCACCCCCGTTAAACTTCTACATTCATTGAAGATCTTCAATAAGGGTTTATTCTCCCACCCCTTTTAAACTTCTACATTCATTGAAGATATCCAACAAGGGTTTAATTCTCCCACTCCCGTTAAACTTCTACATTCATTGAAGATCTTCAATAAGGGTTTAATTCTCCCACCCCCGTTAAACTTCTACATTCATTGAAGATCTTCAATAAGGGTTTAATTCTCCCACCCCCGTTAAACTTCGACATTCATTGAAGATCTTCAATAAGGGCTTAATTCTCCCACCCCCGTTAAACTTCTACATTCATTGAAGATCTTCAATAAGGGTTTAATTCTCCCACTCCCGTTAAACTTCTACATTCATTGAAGATCTTCAAAAAGGGTTTAATTCTCCCACCCCCGTTAAACTTCTACATTCATTGAAGATCTTCAATAAGGGCTTAATTCTCCCACCCCCGTTAAACTTCTACATTCATTGAGAAGATCTTCAATAAGGGTTTAATTCTCCCACTCCCGTTAAACTTCTACATTCATTGAAGATCTTCAAAAAGGGTTTAATTCTCCCACCCCCGTTAAACTTCTACATTCATTGAAGATCTTCAATAAGTGTTTGATGATGATGATGATGATGATGATGATGTGTAAGAGACTCGCACAGGTCCCAATGCCGTGCGTGCCGATATACAACGAGATGTTTGCCCGTAATAAAAGTAATAGTAGGAATAATAGTAATCATCGTAATAATAGTCATCATCATCACCACCACCACCACCATCATCATCATCATCACCACCACCATCATCATCATCATAATCATCATCATCACCCTCATCATCATCATCATCACCATCATCATCACCATCATCATCATCATCATCATCATCATTCCAATTGCCTTTTAATGGGAGTTTACACCATTTTTAGACACACCCTAACATTTTTCTGAAAATAACATATCTGCATGGATAGATAGTGGAGATGTTTTTGACTGAGACGTTTCACCTGTCCTGTCTGTCCTGGTCGCAAAAAAGGCTGGGCTGCGGAGCAAAGAATCGGAACCTGCGGAGGCAAATTCCTGAGAACTTTCGGGGGCTTGGGGTCTTGGTGGAGCGCAGCTTTGATGGACTGTTCAGGTCTAATCCTCAAAAGTTGTCCATTGGTACAGGGGGTAGGTATGTGAAAAGCAGGTTCAGAAAGAAATCAAAACCCTCTGGGTAAAATCTAATGGCCTCACTGCAACCTCACCGTTCAAAACCTCCTGTGAATCCTTTGCGTTTTCCACACGAAACGTGCATCAAAACCGGCCTTCAGCCAGCAAGAATCGCATGGCAGGTCTCCTCCCCGACGGTCAAGTCTGTGGACAGCATGTGGAGCACGGAGAGCATGCAGAAGGCCCGGAAAACACGTACGACTCGTCATTTGGTGGGTATGGTGCTTGACCGAAGTCAGACAGAATTTTCGGTGGGCTCCAGGGCCTGATGACCATTCCATAGTCGCGTTGCTGTACACCTTGTCGTTATTGTTGGCACCGAGACCCCAATGATTCATCAGTTCAATCCCAGTAGTTGGGGCATCCAATTAATACAGTGGGTCAAGAAAGTGCTATCCATTGATATCCCATGCTATACCCCATGAGTCTTTGTTAGTTCCCCATGGCAAGTGGTTATCATATGGTATCATCCTATCAGCACAACCCCAGAAGAACTAGGTACTAAACATGGCTGGCTGCACACTCCCCCATTTAGTTCGATGTTTTTCCGAGCTATAAGTACCTCCGTCTTGAAACGGGATTTTGGCCCGCCACATTTGAGGATTTGAGGACACCAGAGGGTAGCGAAACCACTCAGGATCTATGGGTTGGGGAACCTTCAAACTTCAACTCGTCATTGGCGCAAAACCTTGGCTTGGCACGATTTACCCATTTGTGACTGCAGGTTGCCTCCGATATGGCTCAAGACTCAGAGAATCCATAGCTCCATAACCTAGATTTGGGACCGGTGTCATCAAATTAAAACGAACAGGTGTGCCAGGTATGTAACTGACTGAGTAAGGCTCGGTTTAGGATAGGTTCATGTGTCAATTTGCAGGTATGTCAAGTTACACAAGGGGGGATGATGTACAGAACTGGTACCACTGGGGGGATAAGTTCACCAGGGTCTCTTGTCCTTGTGTTTGTGTGGCTTGCCATCATGCTAAGAAATGGTGAACGTGGCCGGAACCAATTTTGAGGTCCCAAGGTCGCAAGGTCCCAAGGTTTGGAACGCCCAGCGTGCTGTGTTCACATGCCATGGGTAGACTGTTGGTCACTCGGTCACTCGTCTAATTCTTACACTACGTGCCGAGGAATGTCCTATCCTACCAAGACATGTTTTGGCATGTTTTTGGCAAGGATGTGCTTCAGGGTTCACTCTTCATTTTTGCTGTTTCAAATATCATTCTTTAGATAATCATACATATATAAATAGGTATGTATATATATATACATAATTATATCGTCCACATTTTTTGGGTAAAATGCGGATTTCAGACATTCTTCCAGGTTGAATGCAGCTTTTTGCTGCTCTCAAAAAAACATGATATCATTGAGGTCACGATCGCTGAAGAGGCTGGGTCTTGCCCGCTCAGCGGTGGGATGCGTTTATCTGGATGAATATCCACCTCAGTTTTGATGTACCCTCTGGTAATCTAAAAATAGCTATTAAACATGGCACATTTATAGTTGATTTACCTATCAAAGATGGTGATTTCCCGTAGCTATTTTAGTTTACCAGAGGGTATCATTTAATCCCCGAAAAACTTAGAACGGTGACACATGTCAAATCAATCCACTATTTTTCAGTGGGAGTTTGCTTTTCGATCTTTTCGGGGGTTGCTATCACCAATGTCCTGGATTTTGAAGCCCGCTGTTTGATAGCAGTTGACTAGTATCCCAACGACTTGACCGATGGATAAGTCAGAACCCAAAATGGCCCCGCCGGTTGACATGGAGGGGGTCTGATACTGGTTTTCTGATGGATAGCTTTTCTATTTTGTACAACATACCTTTAGTTGGTGAAGTAAGTCAAGTACGCAGAATCATCAAGAAAAAGGTTACCATTAGGTTCCCTGTCGTCCCGTCGTCAGTTGCACTTTGGCGCCGATGCATCCCTCGTCTGGCTTGGAAAGAATTTGGAACTGCATAGATCTGTGATATCAGAATGCTGGCTACACAAGCCGCTGATATCAATTCAATGAACAGAAAGACCTAACACCGCAGCAACAGCTCATGGATCTGGAGCGACCAATTGGCCGAAATTGGTGAAATCAGAAGATCCTTCCATTGCCGTAATCCGAGCAAGTTCAAGTGGAACATCTTAAATCATCTTGATCCGAATCGGAGATAGTTACCAGCTGTAGTGCCTATAGTGAATTCCTGGGCCACAACACACTACAGGCACTCCATTTCCATTACAGTGAGATTTCAATATCATCCTTACAGTTATAGCCGCTATAGCCCTTACCAGTTCTAACTGGCTTACAATGAGAGATTGAGATAACCATAGAAGGGCCACAACTGAGAATCAGTTCTTACTTCATCCCACAACTGAGAAGGGCCATGGGAAAATCATGACGCCCCTCGCTGGGAACTGAAGGACCGAAGGACGTAAAAAGCCGACAATGGCCCAATGGTGATCGTTTTTTGTAAAGAAACTTGGGAATTTCATCGCAAAAAAGAATTGGGATGTATTATATACTGTATACATACTCGTATCATATCTATCTACCTATCTACCTACCTACCTACCTACCTACCTACCTACCTACCTATCACACGAACTATTGGGGTTTATCCACCACTGAGGGGAAGTCAGCAGTACAACTAGGACTCAGTTGGGATTTTCCAGCCATGTTTTTTTTGGTAACAGAGGGCACCTGTTTTTTGTCGATCAATGGCTAGCTGAACTGGTCCAGGACACCACACAGATGCTGTGCCTGAGGCCATGCTTTAGCAAAGCATTGGAGAGAAGCTGGGGACATGGGTTCCAAGTCCAAACAGCAGAGATGTGGATTTGTCTGAAAATAGGGTATATTCCCAATTGTAGCCATTAAATAGGGATAATGATCATTAACCATTGGGTTTAGGGGTACACTATTTTCAGACTTTATAGCCATATAAGCTTACCACACATGAGCACTTTCTGGTAGCTTGATTGGTAGCCATTGACTTGTGACCCATACCCATATGGCTTAAGTCAATGTCACATGTCAGTGTTCAGGTTCTTGGGTCTGTGGAGTCTATCCTTCATCTTTCTGGCGCCGTCTCCTGCACGACTGTTGCTCGCACAGCCTTTTAGAGCAGTGGTCAACACGCTGCCCGAATTCTAGTGATTTTATGATGTTTTTATGTTTTTTTTAATGGACTGTTCATTGGGGGTTAGAATGGTGACTCATAGTGGGTTTATAGCATCATGCAGGATTGGGATATGCTCATTTACAGCAGACAAAACATACAATTTTCCTTGGTATATGATGATATGTCCCCCTGTTTGCGGGGCTTAGCTATCCTTTTTCACCGACTGGTTGATAAACTGAGAGTTTAACATGCTTTAGCATCCATCTTTCACCACCATTCAGATATGGGTGTGTCAAAATGATACACCCAACAGAATCTTTAATCATGATACAGTGGATTTTCTTTTTTCCTCTGGATTTTCAGGTTAGACAAAGCCAAAATGATACCATCCGTAGATCAAACATGGCGATGGAAAATCTGCCAAGGTTGGGCTCCATGCTGCTTCTCAGCACCTTAAGCCGCAATGGCGGCCGCTGGTCCGGGCTCCCAACTGCAAGACGAAATGCTTGGTTTTGGTGAAGCCGGGGTTGGTAAAGGTTCCATTGCAGATGGATTTTGTTTAATCTCTCAGCAGTTGGAGACGATTTCCTCAATAGTTCGGTGATGGGAGATTTCACCATCTGCTGAAAACCACCACTTGAGATCACGTGAGCATTGATTTCTGCCTTTTAGTCCATATAAATCTCAGTCGATCAAAAGCCAAAAGGACCATGTGACATCAGCTACCCTCTGGTAAACTAACATAGCTATTGAAAATTGCCATTTATAGTGGATTTTCCCATTAAAAATGGTGATTTTCCATAGTTATGTGGCTGTTTACCAGAGGGTAAGTCTGATCACATCCCCATCTTTGCCGGTGAAATCCCCATTTTTGCCGGTTTCGAGGCGCCACTTGGCGCGGTCTCCGGCGGCAGTGCGGGAGCCTGGTGGAGCAGGAGGATTGGCAGAAAGGGGGGTTGAACTGTGAAACATCGGCTGTTTCTATGTGTTTTTTTTTTAAATGTGACATGTTGTCGAAAAAATGGGGAGGGGTCATGCTATGGAAGGATTGGAATGACAATGAACAGCTTACTACCAAGTTTTTGGTGTGAACAGAAGGCTACCATTGACCCATAGCCACTTTGAGATCTTAAAACTGACCTAATCGATCTCAGCAAGAAAAATGTCCCATACCCAAATGGATGTCATTTTATGCTGAGAACCTGCTGAAAATCAGCCAAAACGAGCAGAATGCTATGTTTCTGTGGTTTGTCTGTTTCGGCATTTTCACATACCCCGATCTTTCAGCGGATCCCAGGAGCACCAGACATTTTTGTGGTCTTCAAGAGTTTCAGTACGGAAAAAACTTTAAAAAGGAGGCTTTTCCCCCCAAAAAAACGTGGTTCATCACTGTTGACATATGGATAAAGATTAACCAATGTTAACAATAATCATATTACTATATCAAATTTAATCAACGGCAATGTTAATCATCATTTTACAAATTATATAGATTTGCAGTTGTTGGTGCACCCCATTTCCAGTCATTGCCATAGTAGGGCCAGCTTTCACTCCTTTTGGGTTACACACACACACACAGCGGTTCACCAGCCCGCTTTGGTTGCAACATGTCTATCAGCTCAGTTGTATGTAGGCCCTGTCGAATTTCTATGCTTTCTATGGGTCCATTACCGTCATCGTCATCGTCATCGTCATCGTCATCATCATCATCATCATCATCATCATCATCATCATGATAGTCAGCATATATACTTGTCAGCATGACGATGGTGATGATGATGATGATGATGATGATGATGATGGTTATGATGATGATGATGATGATTATGATGATGATGATGATGATGATGATGATGACGATGACGCTCATCTTCATCATCACCATGATCACCATTTTCGTCCCTGCAAAATAGGCAATCAACTACGGTGTATTCCAAAAAAAACATTCATTTGTGGGTCCAAACAGGTAAAAAATAAAGATCATGACTCGACCACCTGAGTGCCGAGACCGTCCTTCTGGCTATGACGCTGGCGGTGACTTTGCAGCCTGCTCAGGCCGCATTTTTTTTTGGGGCGCAGCTCGATGTCCCGAGCCATCACGGAATCATGGGGAGATCATGACCTTTTTATAGGGGTCCCCACAGAGTATGTGGAAAGCATCACCTATACTTTCCTGGGGTGGTTATAATTTCAAACCATTCAAGAAAAAACATTTACTTAATTTTCTTAACCCTTTTTTTTGGGTAGCATCAAACCACTGGTGTGGGACGAAGTGTCCTGCAAACCTACTTTTCAAGTTTCAAGGGCAATCTTTGATCAGAACCAAGTGTTTTTTTGGTCAGGGATGTTGCGAACGCATCAACGCCCAACACCTGGCTTAGCGGCTACATCATTAGATTGTTTAAATACAGGTGTGGTTACTGACGCTGGGGTGGGCTATGCGGCTATGTGTCATGCCTGAGTAAATTAATTCCCAAGCGTGTTACATAAGGTGGAAACCAGTGGGTAATTGCTGTAAAGACTTCTTGTTGGGACAGAAACAAGTAGGTGATGTTTTTCCGTTGCAAATAGCCTCTTTCCTGATTTGTTTTTTCATAGGCTTTTTGTCAACTCTTGATGTTTGATGCTTCAATCAGGTAAACCCAATTTTTCATAGTTAAATCCCAATTTCAGGCGGTAAATCTTCATTTTTCATGCTCAACTCCCTGTTTTCAGGCAGACTTCATGACTCATCAAGCTGCCAGGTGCCCCAGCTGTCTCTGCCTTGGCGTGGAATGCCCTCGGAGCTGCAAGGCGCTTTGGAATCCACTAAAAAGACGTGGCTGCGTCCAGGATCCTTGCAGTCACCGAATGAATTGGTTGGCCCCCCATCCGTAGCCACAGCGTCACAGGTGACCATCCAACGGATGGTGGTTGGCTTGGGACCTAGTAGAAGTAGAGAGGGGTGGCAGGACTTTGAGAGGACTCAACTGTTGGAATTTCATCCAGTGATTCAACCCATCAACCCCTAGTTGATGCTCGTGCTCGTTGCTGCGCAATGAGTTTACATGTGCTGTGCAGGGATCATGTACTCACAGACGTGATGACCACTTTATTCCGCCTCAAAAATCTGAAATGTGCTGGCAAACAGACGTTTTTTCACCACATGCAATGTGCACATCATCTTTTTGTTGAGAGTCTTGGAGAGATCCGCGGATGGTCAGCATTTTGGTGGAAAAAAACCCCACATCTCGAGTTTTCCTTGACCCAGGATGGAGCACTACATCTTTCGC